ATGTGTGTGTGTATGTATGTACGTGTGTGTATGTATGTGCGGATACAAATTTTCGTCGACGATTTCGGGAACACGGATAAACCGATTTGAATAATTCAAAAAACATTCGATTCGTATTGATAAGGAGACGTGCTGATTAGTTTTTGGCGAAGGCAGGTCTAGCCGTTCCAAAGATACGGGGCAAAAAGTGCCGAAAACGGTAACTCAGTTTTTAAGAGAACGGAGCGTCCGATTTGAATAATTCAAAAAACATTTTACTTGTATTGACAAGATGAAGAATTGATTAAATTTTCATGAAGGCAGGTCTAACGGTTTCGGAGATCAAATGAAAAAAGTAAAAAAAAATGCCATTTGGCGGCCAAAAATGATCATTAGACATATGCACATCAAATTATCAGATATTTTATAGAGATTTTAACAATAAGTATGAATTTGGTTTACAGTCCTATGGGTTCCGTACCAGTGTTTACGCGTTAGGCGGCGACGTGGCGCTTTACGCTCTTTGATAATTCGTCTTTATGCAGTTAAAGCAGTACGATTGCTTTGAAAAAAAGTTTAGATCTTTCAAAATATGTCACAATAAGGAAAATATTTTTTTTTTCAAAAAAAAAAAAAATAAAAAAAAATTTTTTTTCGAAAAAAAAATTTTTTTTCAAAAAAAAGTAATTTTTTGTCCAATTTATAGTTTTTCAAAAATCTTATTTTTTCGAAGTAAAATTTTTTCAAAATTGTTAATCGTTTTTTAAAAAAAAAATAATTTTTGGTACGGGAAGTTCCAGCAATTTGCCTTAAGGCACGATGCCTTAATTGCCTTAAGACAGAATTCCACTTACAGCTAGTTTAATAATTCGCTACTAAAAGGCTACTGGCCAGTAGCTTTCCTTTCTAGTTATAATATATTTTTAAAGCAAATAATTAGTAGTTATGGCTTAATTTCTTATGCAGAAATGCTCCGAAAAGCTATATTTATTTGATATATTCAAGATTTATGATTTCAGATGAAAGTCTGATATCACTAGTACTTGATATCAGCAGTATAAGGTGGGTATTGAAAACGGGACCAGTGGTTGCTAGACCTATTTCTTACCATGCAATTCTAATATATTTCTCATACTACAGTAGATCATGCCTAATTCCAATGAATTCTTCATAATTTACTGCATTGAAGTTTCAAAAATATTCAATTTTAAAATTCAAGAAAGGCTTAAATTTAAATAAAAATGATATATAATCACCTCCATTTTCTCTTTAGTCAAATACCTTAAATAAACATTAAGATACCATGAGTATGTTATATGTGGCGGAAGTAAAACAGAAGCGTTCTACGAATTAACTCGTACTGGGCGCCTAAACACAAATTTCGACCTACGAGATAACTTGTTTTTATAGTATAAATTCAATGAGAAATAATATATTTGAATCACACATTATCAAAAACTGGTCTTAAGAAATTGGTGAGAAATGTGGGTTTCCTCTCAATCTGTCAATGTGAGAGAAAATCAATTAATCGGTTTTATTATTTGATGTGAACTGACCATTGCCTTTAAGAGATTTTTGATCTATGATGTTTAAGTACCATCGTCTAACAATTGTTTTATTGTTAAAAAAGTACGGTATATTATCTGAAATATAGTACAAGCAAAAGTAATTATTGCTAGTAATATTAGGTTTCTTAGTTTGACACGATGAAGCATTTAGCCATCTACATTTTTTACCCACTAAAACTGTAAAGAAGACTGGTTACGGTTGTGCCAGGGGTACGGTAGTGACATAACAGCTGAACTAAGCTGATTTTGAAATAGGCTCCACAAGGAGCAAGATGAAGTATGTTTGTTCAAACAAGTTTCCATTATCGCGTTGAGTCGGCGCCGTACAATAACATGACCGCATTGCAGTGGGCGGTTGTGACACTCGCCTTTTTCTTGTATAATTTAATTTTGACTAATCCATCGTATTAAAGGATAGTATTTCATTATTTCTACTGAACTACTTGCCGATCAAAAAAAAAATTGCACAACAGTACCCAGTCTCCTCTACTATTCAGAAGAAATTTAATTTTATATCTATTTTTTATTATTATATTGAAATGTACTCTTACTGAATTGTACTTTTTATCTACTCATTTTCATTAATTTATTATATTTGCTATGTATAAACTAAGGACAATTGTAAATTATATGTTGCAATAATAAAAATTCCTATATTATTCGCCGTTCTACATATTTATTGAAACTTTATCATATTAATATACATCAATAGCAATTAACAATATACATTACTTTTTTATTACAAATTTTTACTACAATGATATAGTAGTTCATTTCTAATAAAGTTTTAATTGACAAAAAAGGAACTTAATTTTGCTAAAGGTTTTGGATATATTTTTCTTTGCCATTTATCAAATTTCTATCAAATATAATTATGAAAATATAATACATACAGGACAATGAGTAAAAGTTAGCAGTATTATGCTAAAAGTTAGTTGGTTGACAATACACCAGTATCACAAGTGATTTATAAAGTTTCAATATAGTAATTTAGATTAACCCTTTCGCCCCGGATACTGCCGCTCAGGCGGCAAAATTCATATGAATCTCGGAATTCGCGGGAGGAAAGTGTTAAAACATTAGTTGAAGCAAATCGTTGAGAAACAACACGTGAGATAAGAGATAGGTTAAGTTCATCAAATTCAAATGTATATGACCGTTGTTATTTTTTGTAAATTTTCAAACAGTGGACACAAAAATGGTTGTATATCAAAACTTTTTATACATGTCCAGTTACATAATAAAAAAATGTGACGAAAGCATTGTTAAATGCATACACCTATAAGCATAGATTGATTTATGCTCGATATTACGTATTGACCAAGCTATAACTCATAAGATTATCCCAAGATTGACGTCACACATATACTATTATATATATATATATATATATATATATATATATATATATGTTCTGTCCTAATGATCAGGCGCTACATCAATGAAATTGTATGAATATTTAAAAGTTTATTTTCTATTTACACGTTTTGTAGATTTCATTTCTGATACAAAATTGGGAATCAATTCATAATTGATATAATATATTCATTCTAATTAGCAGTTCTACTTATTTAGTTGTTTATTTATATTTTTATTTGTTTTTATTGTGTTAAGTTTAATAGTTATGCCTTTTTCATTTGTTGTTATAATTCACAATTTATACTCATTTACCTCATAGATCATTTTATTTTTAAGTTTATTCTATATAATCACAAAATTTAAATTCAATATATCAAAATTGAAAAGGCTTACTACTGGGTAACCTTTTAGATCTAATGTTTAATATTTAATTTTTTTTATTTATTTCTTCATTAACAGCAATCAGAATACATATTTCATATATCATCAAAATTACTGAATGTCTTTCTTTTTGTAAAGACAGATTGTAATTCAATAAAGAGATAAAAAAAATCATAATTGAGGCGCAAGGGCTATGAATATTTTACTTTTATTTTGTGCTATATATTAATGCACTTAATATTTAATATATCCATAAAAATATATGTTTAATTAATCATACTATATATAAGCATAAAAAATAGTCACATTCGGCAAAACTCTTATTGTTATTCGAGTAAAGGTTAAACTGCTAAAAATAAAGTAAGATAAACTTAAATAAATACGTACTTACGTATTTGTTGTATATATTTCGCAAATAATTCATTAGCAATTTATTTTTTACTTCTTGCTAGTTATTTTTATATTTTTATATACCAAAATTTAATTAAGATATAATTTAGTACATTAATAAAAGGTGAACCACTGGGTTTTCCTTTTAAAATTCTGTTATTTGTCAAACTAATTACTAAATGTCTTTCTGACAGATTGTAATTTATAAGAAAAAAAATTGATATCCAGAATTTTTATGCGAAACGAATCAATAACAGTATACAAAATGTTCAAACATTTTGCATTCATACAGATTACAATGTATTTGCTATATATCAAATTAAATTGAATCGAATCTACAATATATAATTTTATATTAATTTTTTTTTGTTCCTCATACTAACGCATTCTGTACTTTCAAAACGAATATTATCCAAAAATATTTTATTTATTTTGAGTTTCAATTAATATAGATTTAAATATTGTGAACTGATCTCATTACCTCATCTCATATATACATACATATACATATTATATATTTTATATATTCGACATTTGATATATTTTATACAATAAGTATTTACATAATAATTATAGAATGATTAAACTTTGAGCTCGAAGAACTCATACAAGCAAATAACAAAAAATTATAAGAAACATTTTTTGTAGAACAGTTACTTTAGGAAAACACGAATAGTTACTTTTAATTCATTTGTCGCTGAGTTATAAAATTCTAAAAAACGAATGAAATTTTTCTCATGTCATTTCCATAAGAAACTTTGCTTGAAATGCGGACTATCTTAAGGTTAATATTAGAAACACAAACTTTCAGATAATTTTCTTTTATTAATTATTAAGCATTTAAGCCCCTGGGAGCAAAAAAATTCGAAAATATCCATATTAAGGACCACCCTAATTCATTGAAGCCTTCATTACAAACATTGATTTATTTATGTATTTATATTATATATATTTTTTCTAAATAAGTGTATGTAGTCAATAATTTTAGTTAGTATTCATTGAAATTATTATTGCCTCGAATAAGATAGATAACGCGCTGATCAAAAATTGCGCGCAATCATCTTTCCAAGATTGTTATTTATCAAATAAAATACTTATTGTGATACGTCACATAATTCGCAAAAGCATCAGACAATCGTAAAAACGATTAATACCAGTATGTTCGCAAAGATAAAATCCACTCATTAAGTACGGCATTTAAAACTGAAATATGCGAATGACAAGATAGTGATCACCTTTTGAGATGAAACAAGTATGTGTTTTGTCCTTGAATAGAATCTGTATATTTATTATTGCATAGAAACTATGAATAAGCAAACATACCTACTATACGACGAGTTACATCACGAGCCATAACATAATAGACTGATACAGCTTAATTAATTGTAGTAAAGGACACGTACTATCAGGGTAATGGATCCTTGTTAACACTTGAGGCACATGAACTTAACACTTGGGAACATAAACTTATTTACAACACAAAACACTCACTAACAGATACTTTATAGTAGTTCTTGAAGAAACTACTCACTGGAAAGGTCTTATAGTAATTTATCCATAAATTGTAATAAATAGCACAACATATAAAACTGTTTAGTTTTGTATTATTTTAAAAGAGCACAACACTTTAACACTTTTTCGTGTAATTATCTATTATTATAAATATTTCTATGTAATTTTTTTTTGGGAGGAAAAGTTTCCTTTTTCACTTTAACACTGATATTTGTTTGTATCTCACACCACTGTAGCAAACACGAGGCAAACTTTAGTGTCACAAAATTGATCGATTCCTGTATTTATGTGTAGTTTATTGACAGACCGGACACGTGACACGACGTTCGATCGGAAGATAAGGTGCATACATATTTTATAATATAAACACACGTATACAATTGAGTTCCTATAGATATAATATCGTATATACGAAATATGAATGAATTCCGTCCGTCCGTACGAGCGGGTACGTGCGTATCGAACTGCGCGCGCAGGAGTACTGACTCGGAACCGAGCGCGGGCTGCTCAGTTTGAATCAGTCGGAACTCCGTCGTCGGAAGCATGAGAACTGCGGAGGGCTTGTTGCCTTGTTGTATTGGTGAATCGTACGGGACCGCCGAACGATTGTAGTAATATAACTGAAGATATATGAGCCGCTCAGTGCACACACTTACTAACTCCATTAAAAAAAAAAACTAGCTGTAAGTGGAATTCTGTCTTAAGGCAATTAAGGCATCGTGCCTTAAGGCAAATTGCTGGAACTTCCCGTACCAAAAATTATTAATTTTTTAAAAACGATTAACATTTTTGAAAAAAATGTACTTTGAAAAAATAAGATTTTTGAGAAACTATATATATGGACAAAAAATTACTTTTTTTTAAAAAAAAAATTAAAAAAAAAAAAAAAAAATTTAATTTTTTTTTTAAAAAAAAAAATTTTTAATTTTTTTTTGAAAAAAAAAAATTTTTTTTTAATTTTTTTTTTTTGAAAAAAAAATTTTTTCCTTTATTTTGACATATTGTGGAAGATCTGAACTTTTTTTTCAAAGCAATCGTACTGATTTAACTGCATAGGGACAAAATATAAAGCGCGTAAGCGCCGCGTCGCTGTCTAACGCATAAGCATTGGTACGGAACCCATAGGAATGTTAACAAAATGTATACTTATTGTTAAAATCTCTATAAAATATCTGATAATTTGATGTGCATATGTCTAATGATCATTTTTGACCGCCAAATGGCTCATTTTTTTACTTTTTCCTCCATATCTCCGAAACCGCTAGACCTACATTTATGAAAATTTTATCGATTCTTCATCTTGTCAATACAAGTGAAATGTTTTTTGAATTATTTAAATCGGACGCTCCGTTCTCTCAAAAACTGAGTTACCGTTTTCGGCACTTTTTGCCCCGTATCTTCGGAACGGCTAGACCTGCCTTTGCCAAAAACTAATCAGCACGTCTCCTTATCAATACGAATCGAATGTTTTTTGAATTATTCAAATCGGTTGATCCGTGTTCCCGAAATCGTCGACGAAAATTTGTATCCGCACATACATACACACACGTACATACATACACACACACATACACACACACATACACACACACATACACACACACATACACACACACACATACATCCATTTTTTCTAAGGTATGCCAAAATGTTCAGAAACCTCTGAAACGTAAAGATATATAAAAATTTTCATTTTCGATTTTTTTGCGATTGCTATAACTTACCCTACGGGAAGTTAAAAAAAAACAGTTTTCTTTTGTGAGCTATTGTGTATATGTATAGCAATATGAAAAAATGATTGGTTTTTAGGAAACGCAGTTCAGTAATTTTCAAATATTCAAATTTCTAGAAAAATACAAATATGCATTTTTTTTCAAATTTTCGTAATTTTATCTGAAATATCAAAACATTTCAAAATTTTCAAAGAATTAAAAAAAAAATCAAATCGTTTTATTTCAAAAATTTCGAAATTTGCAAAACTACTCAAAATTAAAAAAAAATAAAATTTGTAAATGCAACAAATGTATTGCCAAAAGATTTACTTAATGTCTATGTAGGACAGTTGTAAATATATTGTTGAATAAAAAAAAAATAATGCAACAAATGTAAATTTTAATATTTTTTTCAAATTTCAAAATTTTTGAATTTTCCTAACTTTTTTAATGTTTTTATAACAATATTAATTATCCGATAAAGATACTGATTTTAAAAATCAATATTAAAAAAAAAAACAGTTATTGGTGTGAAAGTACTAAGTTTTTTAATTTTTTGTTTAATTTTTGACTTTCCGTAGGGTAAGTTACAGTAATCGCAAAAAATAAAAAATGAAAATTTTGCTTATCTTTACGTTTCAAAGGTTTTTAAACATTTTGGCATAACTTAGAAACTAGTGGCCCATGACATCGTGCCTTAAGGCAAATTTGCAGGAACTTCCCGAACCAAAAACTATTTTTTTTTTTAAAGAACTTTGAATTTTTTTCAAAATTTTAAAAAATTAGATTTTTGAGAATTTTGAAATTTTTGAAAAAATATGATTATTTTAAAAAATTTGAATTTTTATTATAATTTGAATTTTTTTGAAAATGTTGAACATATTTTTAAAGCAATCGCGCTGCATAGCTATTTTAGAGTCAAAATATTGCAGCGCGTAAGCGCCGCGTCGTAGTCTAACGTGTAAACATTGGTACGGAACTTATATGAATGTACACAAAATTTGTACTCATTATTAAAATCTCTACAAAGTATCTGAAAATATGGTGTGCATATGTTTTATGATCATTTTTGACCGTCAAATGGCATTATTTTTTTCTTTTTTTCTTGGATCTCCGGAAACGCTGGATCTGCCTTCCCAAAAATTTCACCAGCTGTTCATTTTGTCAATACAAGTAAAAGTTTTATTGAATTACTCAAATCGGGCGCTTCGTTCTCTCAAAAACTGAAATACCATTTTTGGCACGTTTTGCCTCGTATTTTCGAAACGGCTAGACCTGCTTTTGCCAAAAACTAATTAGCACGTCTCCTTAGCCATAGGAATCAATTTTTTTTGAATTGTTCAAATAGTTTGATCCGTGTTCACAAAATCGTCGACGAAAAATTGTATCCACACAGAAATACACATGCACACATACACATACACTCACACATACACATACATACACTGCTAGACCTGCCGTCCCAAAATTTTTTCCAGTTGTTTATTTTGTCAATACAAGTAAAATATTTTTTGAATTATTCAAATCGGACGCTCCGTTCTCTCAAAAACTGATATACCATTTTTGGCACTTTTTGCCCCGTATTTTCGAAACTGATAGACCTGTCTCTGCCAAAAACTAATCGGCACGTCTCCTTATCAATAAGAATCGAATGTTTTCACATACATACACACACACACATACGTCCATTTTTCTAAAGTATGCCAAAATGTTCAAAAACCTTTAAAACGTAAAGATATGCCGAAATTTTCATTTTCGATATTTTCGTAATTAGTATAACTTACCCTACGGGAAGTTAAAAATAGATGTTAATGTGTGTATGCTTGGATACAATTTTTTGACCACACTTTCGTGAACAGATCATACGATTTGAATGATTCAAAAAACATTCGATTCCAATTGATAGGGAAACGTGCTGATTAGTTTTTGGAAAAGGCAGGCCAGCCGTTTCGAAGATACGGAGTAAAAAGTAATAGGAATGACAATTTTGAGAGAACGGAAATGAATGAATGATGAACGATTGAACATCAATTGTATTGATATAATGAAGAATTTGTTAAATTTGTGGAAAGACAGCAGACAGCAGTCTTGGGGATACAATGAAAAATTTTGAAAAAGCATTATTTTGCGGTCAAATATGATCCTTAGGTACATCAAATTATCAGACACGTTATAGAGTAATAGGGATAATTTAGTAATGAGTACAAATTTTTGTTTACATTTCTATAGGTTCCGTTCTAATGTTTATCCATTAGACCACGACGCAGCGCTTACGCGTCGATATCTCGTCTCTAAAACAGCTACGCAGGGCGATTGTATTGAAAAATTGTTTCGAAATATTAAAATTCAAAAGATTCAAAAATTTAAGTTTAGGACGTTTTAAAAAATTTTTGAAGTTTTATTAACTTCCCGTAGGGCAAGTTATAGTAATCGCAAAAGAATCAAAAATGAAAATTTTTATATATCTTTACGTTTCAAAGGTTTCTGAACATTTTGGCATACCTTAGAAAAAATGGATGTATGTGTGTGTGTGTGTGTGTATGTATGTACGTGTGTGTATGTATGTGCGGATACAAATTTTCGTCGACGATTTCGGGAACACGGATCAACCGATTTGAATAATTCAAAAAACATTTGATTCGTATTGATAAGGAGACGTGCTGATTAGTTTTTGGCGAAGGCAGGTCTAGCCGTTCCGAAGATACGGGGAAAAAAGTGCCGAAAACGGTAACTCAGTTTTTAAGAGAACGGAGCATCCGATTTGAATAATACAAAAAACATTTCACTTATATTGATAAGATGAAGAATCTATAAAATTTTCATGAAGGTAGGTCTAGCGGTTTCGGAGATATGGAGGAAAAAGTAAAAAAATGAGCCATTTTGCGGTCAAAAATGATCATTAGACATATGCACATCAAATTATCAGATATTTTATAGAGATTTTAACAATAAGTATACATTTTGTTAACATGCTTATGGGTTCCGTACCAATGCTTATGCGTTAGACAGCGACGCGGCGCTTACGCGCTTTATATTTTGACCCTATGGAGTTAAAGCAGTACGATTGCTTTGAAAAAAAAAGTTCAGATCTTCCACAATATGTCAAAATAAAGAAAAAAAATTTTTTTTTCCAAAAAAAAAAATTTAAAAAAAAAAAAAAAATTTAAATTTTTTTTAAAAAAAAAAGTAATTTTTTGTCCAATTTATAGTTTCTCAAAAATCTTATTTTTTCAAAGTAATTTTTTTTCAAAAATGTTAATCGTTTTTAAAAAAATAATAATTTTTGGTACGGGAAGTTCCAGCAATTTGCCTTAAGGCACGATGCCTTAATTGCCTTAAGACAGAATTCCACTTACAGCTAGTTTTTAAATTTCAATTGTCGGTACGAAAAGTTCCAGCAATTTGCCTCAAGGCACCATACCGTACACAATCAGTTGGAGTTAGAATTTGTGTGCACTGAACAACGGCTCATATACAAATACAACCATCCGAATAACGCGGATGATCACAGAACACTCGAAAGTTAACAGACCCAGAGTTGCCTAAATTGTGAATTCACTGACTGACGTCGCGTCGTGCCGAGTGGACTTCATTCATGAATTCATGACTTACATACCAAATGCGTCCTTTAAAGAAACAACATCCACATGTCAGACGCACTTAAAACACGACAAAACTTCCGTACTAGTGGGCACTCTAAAATATAATGCTTTGAATGAAGCGATATTTTAAATA